CAGAGCACATGGCCTAAAATTGTATTATATTTACGTAAAAGGCAAATGTAGGAAATTTATACATTAACAGTTTCGCAAATCTCTTATTTTAAAAAACAAACCTGATAAAGTTTTCTGAATTTTTCCCCAAAAAATTGACAGAGCTTAAATGGTTAAACCTCAGCATGGACATTAAAATCAGAAGGTTAAGTTGTATGTCTGATAACTTCAGACTTAGCCGATGTGTTTAGCTCACAATGTCAGTGAGTCGATCAAAACAAGAGTCCTATAGATCAGTGGTTCGATTCACGCAGGGTGAAACCTTGGGAAAGTTTCCTTACTCCACAAGCCTGATAATAATCCCTCAAGAAAAAAAAACAATAAATTGGTCACTTCAATCCACGACTGATTGTGGGACACTGCTGTGCACAATTGGCTCCTGCGTTTCGCTCACAAATATAGTCAATTCATTTTACAGTATATTCTGTGAAGCGCTTTGAGATATCTAGAAGACATGAAAAGCGCTATATCAAATGCAAGGATTATTTTTTATTTTTATAAAATCTATTTAGGTTTGCGACATTAGACATCATCATGCTTGATCAAATGACACATTTCAACAGAGCTGCTTCATAGGCTGAAGTCCTGGGCAAAAGAGAAGGCCTTGGGCTGCATCCAAGTAAATTACACTAGTTTCCATTACACAGTGAAATGTAAATGAATCCAGAAACCTCAAAAATATACCTTTATATGTGCTGCTAAAAGTGTAAGTGTACAACAGTAACTCGTAAGTTTTCTGATTCCTAAATAGTGTGCAGGTAATTTTGATGGAAGTATGAGTGGAAATTAAAGCTGGTTTTATTACTGTTAATTATACAATGAACATAAAATGCAATGGTCAGTATTTCTCTAATGATATTTCACCGATATTGACAGTTTATTGTGAAAAAAGTTTAAGTGCAGACAAATTCTGACCCTCTTCACAAATTTAATTCACTTAGAACTCAAATATACTGTATGTCACTTCCTTTATCCAATGTACAGCCTCAGCCAAATAACGTACAAGCATCAAAATCTTCAGTGCATTGCAATTGTTAGTTACGGTTCTTGAAAACAATCTTACAGCTAGCAAGACTTTGCTGTACTCCTATTTAGAACCACAGTTTTTAAAGGTTCTACTGAAATCTGTTTAAAATGAAAGGTATATTTTTGTGTGATAGTAAGCAAAACGATTAAAAGGAACATATTTGGCAGTATGATGGTGGGAGAATATCATCACTGAATTAGTGTGAAAATGCAGGGAATCATAGGGACAATGGGAGAGGGGTTAGTTCAGTTCCAGCTTCTACAAAAATTTACAAGTCAATTCGCCAGGTTGATATCATTCTCGGTGATTTCAGCAGCACAGCAATTTGCAGTGTTTCAGTGTAAATGCAGGTCCATTTTTAGGTTCCACTCAACGGGCCGATAAAAGGTATTAGGCAGTCCAACAAAGACTCAGAAGTTAGCCAATTTTTTTTTAATGACTAACATGATCATTGAAACATCAGACCCAACCAACTGCTCTATCATGAGGTTTCCCTGTATTAAAGAGGTCAGGCAATGACTTCATATTTTAAATTCTTTAGTGGTTATCAGATCTCTACATAAGCACTATACATAAACCGTCTTCAGCCCTGGCCAATATGATCAAGTGCCTAAAATGTAAAACCCACGTTTTGCTCTAATTGATTTACTGCTGGAAGTGAATGCTTTGCTTGTAAAAGGGGCAATGGAACGAGGTTGTCACATGCTTCCATTCAGGTTAAAAATAGTATTGATAAAAATGTATTAAGCAGTCATTACTAATGCATCTGAAAAACTAAACTATGTTGTAGTAATTATCATGAATTTTACACAGATTTCTGTACACTTCAATCACAATGAACAGAATTAAAAAATGGAGAGTAAACCATTTTCTACCGTTTCCTGCATCTTTTGCAGATGTTCTTCATTCACCATCTTTATTTAATATGAATAATTGTTATTGGTCTTGAATGAAAGTTGATTGGGTGTCAGTACATACATTGAACACATTGTGGACTGAAGATTTGTTCTCTTTCTCTTCACCAAGCTACAGTTGGTCTATGGTTTCACAGTTATCCATCCACAGGATAACTGTGGTGAAAACTTCCCTCCAGCTCCATAATAAGGATGTAGGGAGATTTGATGCTGTCAAAACTACTGGGCACTTTAATAATAATAATAAAATTTGATATAGCACCTTATCATGTAATTGAGATGTTTCAAAGTGCTTCACAGAATATACTGTAAAGTGAATTGACTATCTATTTTGTGGGCAAAATGCAGCAGCCAATTGCACATAGCAATGTCCCATAAACAGTCATGGATTGAGTGACCATTGATTTTTTTTGGAGAGATTATTTATCCTTCTTCCCAGTCAACAATCCTCTCATTGGTGTCAGTTTGGCTCACGTCTACGAGTCAGAAGGTTGTGGGTTCAAAGCCCATGTTGCAACTGGAATCCATATAACCTTTGCTGAAACTCGAATGCAGCGGTGGGTGAATGCCGCATTGTTGGAGGCGTTGTCCTTTGGATGAGATGTCAAACTGACGTCCCACCTGCTTGTTTAGAAGGGCCCATGGCACGGTTCGAAAAGAGAAAGAAGTTTCAAATAATCTCCAAATAAAAATGGTGATTCAGTCCACAGTTGATGTGGGATATTGCTGTGAGCAAATTGGCTGTCGCATTCACCCCCAGATACAGTTTCCAGTTTATCCTGTGAAGCACTTTGAGACATCTCGATGGCATAAGGTGCTATATCAAATGCACTATGTCACCCGAGAACACAATACCTCGCTCAAAGCAAGAGATCAGTGTGGGAATATGTGTAAATTGCTGCTTGCATCAAATGTTTTAAAATCTATATTTTAAATACTGCAAGTTCATTGGTGATCTTGAGGGGGGGGGGGGAGGAGGGAGAGAAGAAGAGATGATGCATTGGTATTTCTGACTAGTCTAAGGAACTTTGTGCACCAGTCAGCTTTCTAAATAAACACCTTTATATCAGGGTCTACACAGCACAAAACAAAGCATAGCATGATAGTGCTTCTGAGACTTTGCTTGCAAACACCACCGTTGTTTTCTTGGAATCATAAACATCAGCACATTTTACTCCCAAAGTAAAACATGGCCAACTGGTTGGGAATCTCAATTCAATTCAAGAGGAAACAAGAACTTTGAAAGGTTGGAAATTCTAATCTCAACAGATACCATTTTCCAAAGTAAAGGCAGCAGGTGTTTTATGAAAACTTTGAAAGCAATGCCCTCCAAAAGTTTTTTTTCAACTGAATCGTTGAATATTGCAGTCAATTGCCCTTGTTGATTCTCACACACACACACACAGGAATTTAACTGCTAGGACACAAATTCCAGATGCCAGTGCCCCATTAATTAGTGAGTCAGTTATTTGCATTTTATTTTTTTACATTATTCCATTACCAGCTACCGACGGCCAAAAGGATATCACATTCATTAACACAACCATAACATGAAATTGTATATGATATATTAACTGACTAAATTTGGATTGAAACACTGCTCTGTAAACGGCATCACTGAGTCTCAGTTATAAAGAGTTCAAGCATTGACAGTACAGCAGATTTATGTGAACAAAGAAACAATGAGGTCATACCACTATAAATAACCCTGTGGAATTAATTGAATCCACAAACATGTTTAAAGGGCGATATGATCAGTAAAATACTCTTATGCGAAAACTAGACTAAACAAACCACTGACACAGGCTTGCTGTCCAATTTTAACACCGAAGCAGCAAACAAGATATCTGTATATCAAACACTTTTACTTGGTCAAGTGCTTCCTGTCCATGCAGAACCTACGTGCTGGACTCTGCATGACATGCAAATACTATCTTGTTTTCTTCAGCATGTAACAGGTTAAAAAGCCACGTTTTCCCTGTTACAGCAAATAAAAATTAAAGTGGAGCAGTCAAAGAAAAATATCCCACCTGTATTAAATTCAGATCCCTCCAAACGTTTACCCATGTTTGGTCACTTAATTTTCCCATCCAGCCCCAATCTAAAAATGTAATCAGTCTGAGACCTTTATCTCTATTGATCTTTGGAAATTGGTGTTATATGGCCAAGAAGCAGGAATAGCAGGGCTACAAGATCTGCACACAAACAAGCTGTTCAGTATTCGTTAAGAAGGTACTCTGTCGCAATTAACCTGTTACCTACTTAGAGTGCAATGCAACATTTCACTGTTATGTTTTGCTAATACAAAACATTCAAAAAATTTTTAACAAACCGAAGAAAGCAATTTGTGACAATTTAAAATTGCATCCGTAATTCTTAATTCCAATTCCTATTTCTTTAAAAATTCCTCTTCTATTCTCACGTTAATTTAGTTGTAATATTTCCGAAGCAAAGTCCTCTAATAATTGATTCCTATTAAATACAATTGAATGCACGACATGTAGACTGGAAGATATAAAGGTCAAAAAGTAGCCATGATGAAAACGGCTTGAATGAAGGGATAGCAACCTAGCAAATAGCATAACCAATTCTCCGGACTTCCCATTACTGTATCGATATGTTTTGCTTGAATGATTCCATTGCCCAAGTTCTCAAGTTTTCCTTTGAAATATCAAACTTCCAAAGATACTATTTGGCAAGTTATGTTTTGCTCAGTTTGTTCAAAAATACAAAAAATCAGTCCTTGGCAAATCAAGTAACAAACCTCATCTTGAACAGTGTCATCTCCCAAGGATGCCGTTTTTAAATGTTTAGCTTAAACTCAATAAATACCAACTGGAAGCTTACAAATTATGGATTTAAAACCTGGAACATTTTTTCAGAGAAAATGAACCCTGTAAATGACATCAGTTCAATTGAGCATTGTGTTAACTAAGTTCAACTGAACATTGTGCTCCTCTGCCTTAAAACAATGTCACTGAATTTCTTGCTATTAACAAAACAACAAATAGTTTACTTACCAACACAATCCTCAGCCATGTTGCTTTACCGCATTTTGCTTTGGTCTGGAAAGATTCAGCCTTCAAAGTCCAAATTTTTCATCACAAGATACGTTGTTCATGCTTCTTCCTGTAATGCAATCATGTGCAATAACCACTTTAGTACTAATCCATGTAAGAAAAAATAAATTGCCACCTATGTCTACAGTTGAACCCATTTATAAGACATTATAAAATTCCAATTCAGTTAATGCTTCCACATCATGACCTCACCAATCACGATGTGACATCACTGTGCATGCAAGCAGAAATGGATTTATTTTTTATTTAAAAAAGGAATAAAGCAGAAATCAGAGCTTGAAATCATGTTTCATAATTCAAAATCCTTCATCGCATTTCAAATGTTCTTGTTGCATCAACGAGTTTGGCATCCACCAATCGGATTTGAAGCGTGATGATGGATTTTGATGAAGCAATATGGAGTCATTGAATTTTGTGGTAAGAAAATGTTGGAACCAGGACCCAGACTGCATTACCATGCTAAAATGAAGCACTTTATAACAGGGCCAAATTTACTCTGAATTAATACACAAAGGGCTTCTGTAATAAAAGTAAGTCAGTTCTCACAATCTGGGATTTAAAATGCAGTTAATGAACATTTCATTGTTTACCTACAACACATGTATACAGCTGGTAAGCAGCACTATTGCTTGGAAGAGACCTGCCTATCTTGTCTAAACTTTTGTTTTATAATTTTGGGCCTTTGCACACAACTCCGCACTTTACTTAGAACAGCCAGCTGTTCATCAAATTATTCATTGATAATTTGTACCTCGGATACATATTTCTCCCCATTCCATCCACTTGGATCTTGCTGCTACTGCATTGGTATGAATACTTTGCTTGAACCAGCTTTGTAGCCTCCCAGTAGAAGGTTCTCATATCCACCTCAGTTAAGTCCTGTAGTGGAATGATTAGCTCACTCGCCTCGCAATCAAGAGAACCTGGATTTGAGTCCCGGGCAGGGAGACACGTTTGGCAAGTTTAGGCACCTCACGCCTCCCCTGCCCAAAGACACGATAAGGCACTATATCAAATGCAAGGATTATTATTATTAATTCAGAAGTGATCTGTGGCAAACTACAATATTTTCTAAATTTCAGCTACTTTGTGCAAGATTTTTAGGAATTATGTTTCTTCCAATAATAATTCAGACAGTGTAAATGCCAAGAAAGGACACGCAGCTATGATTTCTTCATGAAACTTTTTTGAAAGCTATTTACATATGGTTGCTGGGTGTGTGCGAGCTGATAAGGAAGCTGACAGCTCCACTTCCTGAAGATCATTTGCTCTATCTTTCCTGAATTATCACAAACATTTGTACTGAAGTGCGCATGCATTGACGGATCAGGAATTCATTTCCCGCGATTCAATGAAGCCGGTTATTATACTCGCGGCAGTACGAGCTTGGAGATGATTTGCTTCATAAATATGACAAGTGCAAACAAATCTAAATATTTTTGGGTGGAAAACTGAATGAGATACGTACAACTTAAATAATTATATGATTTACAGAGATAAGACTTACGCGAGTCTTATTGGATTCTCTGGTGATGGTCTGACATCAAGTGTAACCCTGACTAGATAGACAACAATAATGCTCTCATTTGATGCGGCATTGTTTACGTTGGGAGGACATCTCAAAGCAATTCACTGGATTTTACTGCAAAGCCTAGTATATATTTTATAGACAATACAGCATCCAATTTACATACAGCAATGTCTCATGGCAGCCATAAAGTGAAGTAAACTTTGCAGTACTCCACAAAACCTTAAAACACAAAAAATTCATTTCCACAAATAGAACAGATGCAAGTAACTTTGAAATGCAATCTTATCTCAGGACTAAGATGACAACAGCAACAACAACAAGATTACATTTGTATAGCGCCTTTCACGTCGGGAGGACATCCCAAGGAGCTGGACAGAGAGTTTCAGACCCGAGCTGGGGGTCGGGGAGTGTGGAGGGCGGGGCGGGAGCAAGGAGATCGAAAGCATGGTTGAAGAGGAGGGTCTTGAGATGGGTCTTGAAGGAGGCAAGGGAGGGGTAAAGCACAGGGACTATGGGATAGAGTTCCAGAGGATGGGGGCAGAGGGCCTGTCCGCCAATAGTGGAGCGAGCGAGGCAGGGGACGTGAAGCAGGCTGCAGCCCGCTGAGCGGAGGGAGCAAGCAGGATGGTAGGGGGTTAGGAGGTTGCAGAGGTAGGGGGGAACAAGACCATGGAGTCGTGGAGTCCTGTAGCTCAGTGGTTAGAGCACTCGCTTTGCAAGTGAGAGACCCAAGTTCAATTCCAGGCACAGGGCGAAACCTTGGGCAAGTTTCCTTACTCCACACGCCTAATAATAATCCCTCCAAAATCAATAATAAATTGGTCATTTTCAATCTACGACTGTTGGTGGGACATTGCTGTGCGCAATTGGCTGCCGCATTCGCCCACAAATATACAGTCAATTCACTTTACAGTGTGTTCTATGAAGCACTTTGGGACGTCCTCCCAACGTGAAACTCGCGATATCAAATGCAAGGATTATTATTATTATGGAGGGTTTTGAAGGCGAGGATCAGGATTTTAAAGTGTATCCTCTGTGTGATGGGAAACCAGTGGGGTCGGGTGAGGATGTGGGTGCTAGGGTCATGGAGCCTGGTGCAGGAGAGGATGCGGGTCGCAGGCTGCAGCGTTCTGGATGATCTGCAGCCTATGGAGGGAGGAGCTGGGGAGGCTGACAAGCAGTGAGTTTGCATAGTCAAGCCTTGATGTAATGAAAGCATGTATCAGGGTTTTGCCGGCCTGTGGTGTGAGACAGTGTTGGAGCCAGGCGATGTTGTGAAGGTGGGGAAGGCAGAGCGGGTCATGGCGCAGATGTGAGGTAGAAAGGATCTTTGAGAGTCAAACAACAACAACATTACATTTGTATAGCCCCTTTCACGTTGGGAGGACGTCCCAAGGCGTTGGAAAGTGTACAGCATTTCAGACCCGAGTAACAGTCTCACGGGGGGGGAGAAGGGAGGGGAAGGGGGTGGCTGATGCATGGTCAAAGAGGAGGATCTTGAGGCGGGACTTGAAGGAAGCTAAGGTGGGGGCGAGGCGGAGTAATTGGGGGAATGGAATTCCAGAGGTTGGAGGAAGAGTGGCTGAAGGCTCTCCCGCCAATGGTGGGGTGGGACGTGGAGCAGGCCGGAGCTGGCTGAGCAGAGGGAGCGGGCGGGTTGATAGGGGGTTAGGAGGTCACAAAGGTAGGGTGGGGCGAGGCCGTGGAGGGCTTTGAAGGACCAGGATCTTGAACTGGATCCTCTGAAGAATAGGGAGCCCATGGAGTCGGGCGAGAATGGGGGAGATGGGGTCGCGGAGCTTGGTGCGGGAGAGGACACGGGCTGCAGAATTCTGGATTATCTGCAGCCTGCGGAGGGAGGAGTTGGGAAGGTCGACAAGCAGGGCATTTGCATAGTCAAGCCTGTATGTGCTGAAGGCATGAAGAAGAGTTTCAACGGCCTGAGGGATGAGGTAGTGGCGGAGTCGGACGATGTTACGGAGGTCAGGGAAGGCAGAGTGGGTCATGTCTTGAATGTGGGGAAGAAGACAGTTGAGGGTCAAACAAGATACCTAGGTTCCTGACTGATAACAAGACGATAAATATAAGGAACTTCAAATTTACTCTGTACATTATGACATTTAAACTGTTCAATGAGTTTATCTTGACGGCAATGGTAGCTGAGTTCATTCATTTTGTAGTTCACTTCAGTATATTTTTAAAAAAACCTATTTGAAGAACTGCAAATTTCCAGCCACAAATTAAGAAAAATGTTTCAGATTTCTAGTTTTGTTTTTTGTCCTTCTGCAAGAGATTTGTTTTTTTTAAAGTAAGTTCATCCAGCTGTGCCCTATCCGGTTAGATAATATCTGCCCATAAATTCGAACTGCAACATGAGCGGTAACCACAGGAAATAATGTGGTTTAGTTATGCATGGAAGACAAAGCTCATAACAACCAATTTTCACAAGTAGGGCTATATCTTGTACACGCAATAAGACCTCAACAGCACTTCAATCAGAGGCCACAATATCACAGTTTCTTGCACGACCACAGCCTCAACTCAATTGGATGAAAAAAACCTTCATTTTCACCTTTGCTTTTTTTCTTCACCTCTCCGGAAGGTGCCATATTGCACTGCGGTATAATAATAATGATTTGACATTTACACACAATTTCAAGCAAATATGTTTCATTGACATTTCTGTGTTGTGGTATTTTCTTCAGTATTGTGACCAATACATGGATTAGCTTTCAGGGTCAAGAAAAAAAGAATCAAAGTTAAAATGTAGTAAGATTCTGTTTTGCCAGGAAAACTAAAATATTCCTACTACTTTGTACCAATAGCCACTGCCTTGGCTATGTACGTATGGTTGATTTACTCATGCATTAGGGGTTATTAAATGGTGATCAAGAACAGGAACATGAGAGCAGAAGCAAACTATAACACCATGCTGAATGAGACTGTTTCAGCTCAGAACAGTGTGGAATGTGATGTTGCACACCAGGTTGCTTAATACTGAAGCAATTACCATAACAGCATGGGCGTGGGGGGGGGAATCAAGGGAAAGCAGTTAAAAAGCACTAATGTTGTTATATTTGGTGGATGTCACATGTTGAAGGAAGAAATCAAATTTTACCTCAATTTGAACTTGGATAATATATGCCACATGAATCTCTGAATTACAAATGAAACTTTTCCTTAAGACGAGCTGGGCAGTTTTTTTTGGATTTAGTAGAACACAGAAATACCCAAGGCAGTGGCTGTTAGTACAAAGTAATGTCAATGAGACGTATTTGCTTGAAATTGTGTATAAATGTCAACTCAATAAATGGAGACCAACTTCCATGGAGTTACAAAGTCAGGATTCAACTGAAGAATTCAATTCCATCACGATAAACCACCAAATCTCCACAGTTTATAAAATCCTAATAGAAATCGCAGAAATACAGTATTGTAAACAATCCATGAAATATGTTCTTCAACAACTTGCATTTGTATTGTACCCTTGGGGTTCTTGGCTTAATATCAAAATAGAC